TGTGTTTTTTTTGTATATGTGTATGGGGAGAGATAAACTCCCTCTATAGAAAATAAATATCCCCCCTCCGTTTTTTCTATATATATATATATATTCTCTCTCTTATATATATATATATATATATATATATATATATATATATATATATATATATATATATATATATATATATATATATATATATATATATATATATATATATATATATATATATATATATATATATATATATATATATATATATATATATATATATATATATATATATATATATATATATATATATATATATATATATATATATATATATATATATATATATATATATATATATATATATATAATCATCAATTATTGAAACACAAAATCAAATACACATATATTCGTATGTAAATGAATAATAAATATTTTTCAATGCACACTTGTAGAAAGAAGAATTTTCAGAGGCAGGTAACATCATAAGAATATATATATATATATATATATATATAAACGTAATAGACTAATAGTCAATGTAAAATTGTCATAACCAGTGTTAAATTCCATGCCTTTATCTTCAAAATAATTTTTAATATAACATCTGATATTTTATAAAATTAAGAAAATATGTTATACTTATTTTAATTTAGATAAATTAAGAAGCTTTTCCAAACACCACCTACTTTTAACGAACCATTGGTTTTAGGTGATAATATATTATTTATATCTTCCTACCAAACAAATTTATGATCAACTCATACTGAGATTTGACTATATTTTTTTTGGGTAACGGATATATCTAAATTGGTAAATATTGGACCCAATTTTTTAAAAATTGTATTTAAAAAATAAATTTGAGAGAAACATTATAAATTAGATTCTAAATTTGCTAATAAAATTTAGAAAAAAATAGTTCAAAATAAGATTTAAAATTTAATAATTTATTATAAAATTAGACAAATTCAATATACTTGATAAGTGATAACAATGAATTAAAAATCGTTAATCAATACGGCAGAGTGCTGTATAGTTAGAGGAACAAATAAAAATAAAATATGCAGTCTTGATTATTGAATAGTTTTTTTTTTCTGAAAAAGATTATTGATAGTTCAATAATTCATACTATTATATACAGTCTCTAAGAGGGTGTTTGGCTAAGCTTATAAGATGTTAAAAGGAGCTTATAAAATGTTTTAGAGCTTATAAGCTCTTCCAGAGTGTTTGGTAAATTTTTAAAAAAAGATCTTAATTTTTTATAAAATAAGCTGTTGGAGAGCAAATAAGATCTTTTTAAAAAAGTAACTCTACCCCATCTTTTTATTTAAGATCTTATAAGGAGTAAAAATAGGAAATACGCTCATTATCCAAACACTCTAAAAATTAATCCTAAAAATAAGTTGTAACAACTTACCAGCTTTTAAAACATCTTATCAGACGTAAAAACTTATCAGCTGTTTAAAATAAGCTTAGCCAAACACTCTCTAAGTCTAATTTTATTGGAGTCAAATATTGACAATTAATGCAAACGATAATTAATTTAGTGACCCGGTGGTGCCAAGTGGATGGTTATTACTTATTAGTATATAAATCAAAGATTATCGAAAAATACAAAAGTAATGGTAGTCATTTCATTTGAATATAAATATGATCACATTTAAGTATTATAATAATTTCAGTTAAGAAAAATCAAATATAGAACAACAATATTGTATTCATGCATTCTAACTATTATTTTGTTAATTTATGTAACACTAATGTAAGATGATATGTTGTAACTTGTAGGAGAAAAAAATATATATGGAGAAAAAATGAAAAAAAAAAAGAGAGAAATAAAACAATTCTTCAACCGTGTCAATTAGAGAAGAGAGGAATAAGCATAGCAATCTAATATCTAACTTATCGACGTGTCTTGTAATAAATGGCATCCGGTTTTTGCTTCTTAATGGAGCATCCGTTTTGAATTTAATTCCATTATTTGTCGTGACTAAACGAATGGGAAGAAGTCGGTTTTACATACGGTGAAATTCACCGAGTGCCTATGCTCATTGTGTTAGGCACTCATTTGAACTCAGAAACAAACAATACATAATACATAATTCTATTCTATGACATAGAACACCAGTGGGAAGAGTTTCGGGATTACAGATTAACTAAGAAAGGGAAAGGAAATAACTTAAGTGCTTTTTATCCACGGCTCAATTCCAATATCACATTTTTCTCGTTTAAAATCCACTGGCGGTGGTACCAACAGCCCAGTAAAAAGCATAATCACCGGAATCCTAGATCTAACCTGCACTGCTCCATTTTGGTCAATGATCTCAACCCAACCCCTCATCTCATTGGCTTTAAACTCTCTCGTGTTTCCCTCACTCATATGTGGATCCCACGCTCTCACCGAATAACAAAGATCTAAAACAAGTAATTAATTACTGAGTATTTGGGATTTTCAATAATTGAAAATTATCAAAAATTAGACGTTTTATTTTTAAAAATAAATGTTATTTAGGATTAATGCACACCAATTAAGAAAGTTCATAAATACTCCTGATTTTAGGGAAAATAATTCATATTTTACAAAATTAACCCTTTTCTGCCTTTAAATCTCTCTTTATTAGTAGTTTATTAATCTCTCATTAATTGTAGGGTAAAATTGAACAAAAAAATATTGATCTATCTTGAAATTCTAAAGTGACATTTAATAAGAAAAATAATTTATGGCTAAAACTACACTTAAAAAGAAACGGGGGGAGTATTAATTATATTTATTACTCATTTTGTTCCATAACTGTCTCTTTTTAAAAATATTTTGTTTCATATTATATGCCACTTTAGATTTCCAATACTGCATTAAATGCATTTTTTTTTTCATATTTTAACCTTATTAATTCAATAATCTTATAATATCATAATCAAGGTTATTTTACTATTTCTAATGTATTTTTCCTAAAATCAAGACATATTTATTAAGATTTTTAATACTTGTGCAAAGCTACAAACGACCCTTAATAAAAACGGAGTAACAACTAGATCATCCAATCCATGTGAAACCATTATTAATTACGTTCTCTAACTAGTTGGCCAAAAAGGAAAAAAATGTTAGATTGTTGATTGTTATTTCTTGTATAACATGCCACATTCATTTTTTTTTAATATAAACTCTGTGTGACGAGCTCAAATTAAAAAAATAAAATGAAACGATTTACCAAACCCTCGATAGTTAGATACAACACTCTCTTAGTCCACCAATTAGAACACTATTCAAGCAACCTGTCACATCATTGCATTTATATCTTATTGTGAATGTTCGCTATAAAATGGACAAACAAGCTAACTTTTCAAACATCAAGAATTATTTTTTTTCTCCATTCAAAAAACTTCATCCCTCTCTCTCCCAACCTTCTTTTAGAGAGAGAGAGAGAGAGAGAGAGAGAGAGAGAGAGAGAGAGATGGGATCTTGTGGAGTTATGAACAACAGTTTGTTCCAATCATCGCTCTACTCACATTACAGTTCAAGCTTGATATCTTCTTCCGGTACCACTCTTCCTGTCAAACGGCAAAAGGTTCACGTTCACTATGTGTTTTTTTTTTTATTATATTTTTTTTTTCTCTCAATATAATGTTTTCAATCAAATGACCTTCGACATATATTCTTATGAACAGCAGAGAGAGATATTGATTCATTCTTTTTTAGAATTAATTCATTGCATTTAGTACCCCTGTATTATATCGAGTTTCTATAAAACTCCCCGTATTATACATAATTGCAAAAAAAAAAAAAACACCCTTATAATGCATTTGTTTTAGCACACCACCCCCTAAAAAAGTGAGTTTGAGGGGTAGTGTGGTTAAAAAAAATTGAATCACATGAGGTTAGATTCTGCTAATAAAATAGCATGGGGAGTTTTTTAAGAAATAGAGAAAATACAGGGAGCCAAATGCAATAATAAATCCTTCTTTTTTTCTTAATTTGTGTTGCCATTTTCCCTCTGTTTCCAGTATTGTGGGATATCAGCTGCTCAAGGGGAAAGTTACACGAACGAGACAAACGGCGCCGTTGTGAAGACGACGCCACGTACTCTTCGATTTACTGGAGAAAAGCCGTCAACCCCAATTTTGGATACTATTAACTATCCCATTCACATGAAAAATCTCTCTCTCGAGGTAATTTTTTTTTTCTTTTTTTCATGAATCTATTGTGTATAGGGAAGTTATATGCTACATCGAATTATTTACACCGGATATTTGTTAACTGTAGATGGGATTAAATAACCATTCACTAAAGACACGTACACATAGGCGTGTGAAATTATATGTAAATTTACGGTTAATAATCACCTGATGTTAATAACCGAGTATAGCATAGAATTTAACTCATGTACACATAGCTAGTCATCCCTTCGCCGCAGTCAACGCAACATGGTTATCAAATTGTCATTTGTGATATTAAAAGTCTATCTAATTAATTTATAAAAAAAAAAAAAAAAAAAAAAAAATTAGCGCCAAAACTCCTCGTGTTAAGAAAAAATGGTGCTAAAAATTTATCTAAATAGGGAATTTTATGTAAGATTAAAAAAAAAAAAAGGAGGTGATAAATGTCGTTTTTGTTTGAGTAATACTGTTTCGACTTCAAACATGAGTTTTACCATTTTGAAGGCTGAATTTGACAAAATTAAATACACATGGATCCATAGTTCTTTAAGTTAGCTTTCTTATGCAACTTGAATAACCAAAATTAGATGTTGGATGAGAAATATATGAATCAACTAAGGGCATCTCCAATGGAGTAAGCAAACTGCATTTGGCTTCAAAATATAGAAATTGTGGAAGAAAATTCAACACCAACAAGAAATTTAGTGGGGCTCTAAATTTTCAGATTTTTGCATAATCTCCAAACTTGTTCCTAAATATAGGAATTTGTTTGGAGACTCATGTGTATTTCATGAGAATTTGTTTAGAGACTGAAAATTATAGAGCCCTCCATTGTGGAATTTTATTTTTTAGAGACTCTAAGATTCCACCGGGTCTCCATATGGATCTCCAAAATAGAATTTAGAGACCCGATTTGCTTACTCTATTGGAGATGCCCTAATGATCAATGCTCACAACGTTAATATTTTGAGATATCTAAAATTCAGTACTTCATTACTGAGCTTTTAGCACTAACCACCCAGTGTAATCTCTAATTGTCACAAAAGTCACTGTGTTAAAAAAATTAGCAAAGATCCCCATATAAAAGTTAGTCAAAGCCAACAAGGTCCCTATGAGTTGGTTCGATACACTCACCACAACTGAGGCTGGGGTTGATTTTTTTATTTAAAAAGACTGGAATACCATTTAAATTAGAAATTTTATAAATAAGCCTCATAATGAAGTTTTCAGTATTTTCAATTCAGTCCTTTTCATTTTCAAAAAGACTCTCTTCTTCCTTAAATCAGGGATTGATTTGCAATTTTTCAAAAATACATTGAACATAGTTGAGCCGCCGCTCTCCTTCCGGCGAAAAATCTCTCCGGCGTCACCTCCCTCTATACCCTCAGCCTCCAGTTCAACAATATCCCCCTTCCGCCCACCGCTCCAACATTTTCTCCCATGAAATTAAGTTCGGTTTAGAGCTTCCCAGCACCCTTTTCCCCCCATATATTGTAGATTTTTCATCACATCAAATCAAGAGCAGGTTGTGGTCGTGGTGGTGGTGCGGCGGAGGGTGAGTGAGAATTTGATTTTGGGTTTGGTGGTCGGGGAGAGTACAGGGGGCTGGAGATAATATTTATTTATCAGCATAGTTTTGTCATTTCACGAAAGTCAACAGATAATTTTGAAGTAAGGGGCGGTGTGACTTGCAAAACGTTGTGGTGTGACTTGCAAAACACAACGTTGGGGGTTATTGCTAAAAAAAATTTAACATAAGAGTTTTTTTGGCAATTAGATATTAACAGGCAGGGGCGGACCCAGGGGGTTTTCTTGGGGGCTGAAATATAGAGATAATTTAAGAAAGAATTTTTTTTTTGTTTTTAGGACTAAAGGGTACAAAATTAAAAGTTTAGGGGGCCGAAAGTGCATTAACTAATACATAAATACCCAAAAAAAAAACAGCTTAAAAAACTTTTCTTGGGGGGCGGGGGTAGGGGTGGGAACGAGCCGAGCTCGGCTCTTTTGGCCAGCTCGAGCTCGAGCTCGAGCTCATCGAGCCATTTTTTTGGCTCGAGCTCGAGCTCGAGCCAATTTTGGCGAGCTCGATTTAATTTTTTTTTTTTTAATTATTATTTAATTTTTTTATTAAAATCATTTTATTTTTTATTAAAAATTATTCATAGAAAAATAAAAAAAAATTTATAAAATAAATAATGAACTCTAGTTATATATATTTTTTTATTTTTTCTATTATTATTATTATTATAATATTTTATATTATTATGAATTATTTAAGTAATATAGATTTGTTTCCATTTAAATACTAGATATATTTATTATTATAGACTATTTACTATTTAGTTAATAATAATAATAAGAATAAGAATAATATATATATATATATATATATATATATATATATATATATATATATATATATATATATATATATATATATATATATATGTAAAAAAAAAAAAAAAAAAAAAAAAAATAGAAGGCAGCTCGCGAGCCGGCTCGCGAGCTGACGAACAACTAATTTTGAGCTCGAGCTCGAGCTCGTCCGAAGCTCGAGCTCGTGAGCTCGAGCTCGAGCTCGAAAAACCCGAGCTCGAGTTCGAGCTTTTTTCGAGCCGGCTCGTCGAGTTCGCGAGCCGGCTCGGCTCGTTTACCACCCCTAGGCGGGGGCCACCCCAGCCACAAGCTTGGGTACGCCCATGTTAACAGGGGTGGTTGGTGCTAAAAGCTCCTTAATTCTCGCATAATTTTATCGTACAACATATAGTATATCTGAGTCAAGTTGGAGTAGAAAACTAATTCAAAAGACTATTATTTTTCGTGTTTTGAATTTTGCCAAAATCAAACTAGAATTTCGTCGAATCACATTCGAAATCAAAATGGTATTAGTAAATTTGAAAAGGCATTTAGTATTTCAGTAAAATAAAACATAGGGGAGTCCACTCTATACAGTTAAATTGTTTATAAAGATGTTTACTATAAGCATTTCAAAAGTGTTTGGTAATTTAAAAAAAAAAAATTAAAAACTCAAAAAATAAACTATTAAAGAATGCATTTTAATGGTAAAGAACTACATTAAAATTCCCCAAAAATAATTAAAATATATGTGTTTTATTTATTGCAGGAACTAGAAAAGTTGAGTGATGAAATAAGGGAAGAAATAGTGTACACAGTGTCTCAAACTGGAGGACACTTGAGTTCAAGTTTAGGTGTGTCGGAGCTAACTGTTGCACTTCATCACGTGTTCAGCACACCTGATGACAAGATTATTTGGGATGTCGGTCACCAGGTAATTAAATTAAATTTAACTAATTCTTTGTTTTTTTCCCTCCCCTTAATTTATTTTTCTCTACTAATTTGATTTGTCATATGAAGTACATCTGTAAACAAACACATTAAAAATTAATCTTCAAAATTAAACTTAAGAGTTTATTAACTCCTAAAACATCTTATCAGAATAGAAGCTTAAAGATGCTTAAAATAAGCTTAGCCAAATGGCGGGTTAATTAGTAATTAAACTTAAACGGCATAACTGAAAAAACTACCACGAAACCGCAGGCGTATCCGCACAAGATTCTGACAGGAAGAAGGTCAAGAATGCATACTATACGAAAGACTTTCGGGCTAGCCGGTTTCCCCAAAAGGGAAGAAAGTGCCCACGATGCCTTCGGAGTTGGTCACAGTTCTACAAGTATTTCAGCCGCCCTAGGTATAGTCCGAGTTTATCGTATCGTCCGATAACCGTTGTGTTTACTTTAATTGTTAAAAGAAAATCGTACTATTTTCATTAGCATCGATAAAAAAACGAAGCATCATCATATGAGTATTTATACTAACATTAATAACACAAGTATTTTACAATATTCAATCTTGTAATTCTACTTGTAAAATATTGACACTGTTTTTATTGATGATATATATTAGGAATGGCTGTAGCAAGAGACTTGTTAGGCAAGAAAAACCACGTGATATCGGTGATAGGAGACGGAGCGATGACAGCTGGACAAGCATACGAAGCAATGAACAATGCGGGCTTTCTTGATTCGAATCTCATAATTGTTTTGAACGATAATAAACAAGTATCTTTGCCCACCGCCACCGTCGACGGCCCGGCTCCACCCGTCGGAGCTTTAAGCAAAACCCTTACTAGGTTACAAGCCAGCACCAAATTCCGCATACTCCGTGAGGCAGCTAAGGTAAAAAAAGTTATTCTCATCATTTTTATTTTAGATTTTCGTAGGACTATATTTGCATTCGTCGTCCCAATTTATAATTCTAATTTTTCGACAATATACGCATTTGTATAACTTATTTTAGCATAAACCCTCGTGTGAACGAAGAAGACAAACCTTTTTTGTGAATCAAGAATGCATGTAATTTACTGCTTACTAGGGGTGGAAATTATATTGGAAGGGAATTTTCGGTGTTCGTCGGTTCTAATCCGAACTTTTCGATTTTGAAACAATATGTTTCATTCCGAATTCCGATTCAGATTCCAATTTTTTTTTTGATAATGGAAATTGGAGTTTATAAGATATTCTGATTCTAATTTTCGAATGTCAAGATTTTTATTCCTAACATTACACTTATAGTATCAATATCATTATGTAACTATCTAAAATTTGGAAAAATTTCATATTCCGCCGATTCCCATCTAAAAATTTCCGATTCTGGAACAAGTTTTTATTTCATTACTATTTTCAAAATTCCAATTTCTGATTTTTCCGATGTTTTTAAACAAAATTGGAATGAGTTTAAACACTTCCGAAAAAAAATCAGAATTTTTCTGAAAGTGCTAATTCTGATACGATCCCTCCAGTTTCCACTCATACTGCAGACTTTACAACTCTTTAATCGAAAAAGAGTATAATGTAACGAAAAAGTGGTCTTTTTTCATTTCCTTGAAACAGGGCATAACAAAGCAAATGGGAAACAAAACCCATGAAATAGCAGCTAAAGTAGACACTTACGTAAGAGGGATGTCCGGAAAACCCGGTTCTTCTCTCTTCGAGGAACTCGGAATCTATTACATCGGCCCGGTTGACGGCCACAACATAGAAGATCTTGTCCACATTTTCAAGAAAGTCAAGGAAATGCCGACACCGGGCCCTGTTTTGATCCACATTATTACCGAAAAGGGCAAAGGATACCCTCCAGCCGAAGCCGCTCCAGATAAAATGCACGGTATATATATTTTTTTAATTTTATAATTAATTCTACACAATTCGACGACGTTTTTTTATTACGGGCTTTTTTCGTTTTTTTTTTTTTTTTTTTTTTTTGAAGGGGTGGTGAAGTTTGATCCGAGAACTGGAAAGCAGAGCAAATCAAAACCGAAGACGCTTTCGTACACTCAATACTTTGCGGATTCTTTAATAGCTGAAGCGGAAAAAGACGAGAAGATTGTGGCTATACATGCGGCTATGGGTGGAGGCACGGGGCTTAACGTATTTCAGAAACGTTTTCCGAATAGATGCTTCGATGTTGGGATAGCGGAGCAACATGCTGTTACCTTTGCTGCTGGTTTGGCAACTGAGGGGCTCAAGCCATTTTGTGCTATTTATTCTTCTTTTCTGCAGAGAGGTTATGATCAGGTATTTAATTTAATTTAATTTGAATTATTTTGAAATTAGGGAGGGTACAATAGACATTCCTCCAATAAATGAAGATTAATTCTAACTTATTTTTCCCACAGCCTAATTTTTTTTATAGTCATTTTATATATTTTTACTTAGTATTTTCCTTTGTCCGAACATAGCCTTAAGGTACAATTAATTAGTTAATTAATCTGTATAATCTTACCAACCAAACGAGGCCTAATTGTATACTGGCTGGAAAATTTTGTGAAAATATAATTGGCGATGGTGCGAAATTACGCAGGTGGTTCATGATGTGGATCTCCAAAAACTACCGGTGAGGTTCATGATGGACCGGGCCGGGCTCGTGGGTGCAGATGGGCCGACCCATTGTGGGGCCTTCGACACAACATTCATGGCTTGTTTGCCGAATATGATTGTCATGGCTCCATCCGATGAGGCGGAGCTTACGCACATGATCGCCACTTCTGTAGCCATCGACGACCGCCCCAGTTGCCTCCGTTACCCTAGAGGAAACGGCGTGGGTGTCACTCTTCCATTAAACAATAAAGGAACTCCTTTAGAGGTACACATATAAATAAAGTTTAGGGTAAATTTCACTTTGCTCCCTTGTACTTTAACTCGGTATCACTTTACCCCTTTTACTCTCGATTGTATCGATTTGCCCCCTTCTACTTGAAAAATTGTCTCAATGTGACCCTCGATGCTAGTTGTCAGACATTTGATCTTAACACCGCTTGATCTAAGCTCTAAAATTACAAAAACGCCACTTCTTCCACTTTATTACATTTAGTACCTTGTCCTGTGTTATATCGAATTGCAAAAAAAAAACTTGTATTATTCATATTAGCATACACTCTAGATCGAATGCATTTTTTAGCACACAACCCCCTAAATTATGATATTTTAAGGGGTGGTTTGCTTTAAACAAATGCGTTGTATGGATCTTAATTTGCTAATATTTATAACAAAATGACGTTTTTCATAATAAAGAGTGAACGTAGGGGTGTTGAATGCAATAAACTCCTTAGTTGATTTTTACATATCGAAAATTTATGTTTTCGTCCTTGCTAAAAACATATTTTATGAATAGATTGGTAAAGGAAGGATCTTAAGGAAGGGAAATCGAGTGGCGATTTTAGGGTTCGGAACGATAGTGCAAAATTGTTTAGCGGCGGCGGATATTCTACAAGAGGTATGCGGAATATTCGTAAGTGTGGCCGATGCGAGATTCTGTAAGCCTCTTGATGGTGACTTGATTAAGCAGTTGGTGCACGAGCATGAGGTTCTTATAACCGTCGAAGAAGGTTCCATTGGTGGATTTAGCGCACATGTTTCACATTTCTTGTGTTTGAACGGATTGCTCGACGGAAACCTTAAGGTAAATTAAAACATTTGTACTTGTGTTTTTTTTCTTACACAACCTTAATTTTTTTTTTAAATTTAAACACCACCTAATTTTCTAACTTTAATTTTTTTTTTTTTTTTTTGATTTTTTATATATGTTGTAGTGGAGGGCAATGGTGCTACCAGATAGGTATATTGAGCATGGAGATCAGAATGGGCAGATTGAAGAAGCTGGTCTTAGCCCTAAGCATATTGCAGCTACTGTTTTGTCATTGGTTGGTGAAGGAAAGGATACTCTCAGCTTCATTAATTTGTAAAATAAATATTATTTTAAAAATAAATTATTCGAAGAGGAAGAATGTCGATTTCCGAGTTCTTTTATGACGGTTGTAACGTCGTGCAAAAAGTAAAATTCAAAATAAATAATTTTTACGTGGTTTAAATACAATTATGCTGATTCATAATACATCTTTATTATAATCTATAAACAGCCTGTTGTCATTTGCTTCATACTTGTTACTCGGAAGTGTATTGAATGAACATCGTTTTTATATAATAGTCCGTAAATTGCGCTATAAACATAAATTATAATAGACAAACCATGTTTAATAATTCGACATAAAATATATTGACAAAAACGAACAGATAAAGTAAATAGGGTAAATTACGTCCAATCACCTGAGGTTACGTTAAATTACAAAAAAAATCTCATGTTTGCGTAATTAAACCCCCCCCCCCCCCCCCCCCAAACTATGAATGTTTGTACAGGTTCACCTTTGCGTTATCAAATTTAGTGGAATCTTCTAGATTATAATGAATATTCTACAACATGTACTCGTTTTATCCCATTCGAGCTCCATATTTTGAAACAAGATGATCATAAAATGTATCTCTTTACTTGTAAATATATAATATTGTAGTGCATCAGAAACTGCATTTTGCACAAACCAAGTACAAACTAGAGGAATATCTTATGGAATGTAGACGATTCTGTTGAATTTGTCATCATAAGAATGGAGGTATAAGAAGAATAGTTGAAGAGTTGATTGTAATTACCCAACATAAATAGTTTTTTGTATTTATACATTATCTCAGGGTTGACAGTGTTTTCTAGTGTATTTATCAATTAATTAATAATTAATTAATTAAAAAAGAAAAAAGAAAACAGGAAATGGATATATATATATATCTATCGAAGCACGTGACATAATAATCCGCTTGCCGTATATCATGATGCAGTGTGGGACCCATAATTTCCTCCACATTACCCAAAATATCCTTGCCACCAGACAGAAGAATCTAGTCTCTTGTTTGGAAATGGATCTTTCAACGCGGGAATTAGTGCGCCTGCCCCCACGCGCCCACACCTGTAACTAACATGCCCTGATTTCTTCTGACTTTCATCACATTCCCGAGTCAAGGGTATAATCGTCATTCACCACGCTCTTGCTCACGCATGGCATGACGTATACTGCACCCTGCATACTACTTCCCTCGAGATGGTTCTATTTTGTTAAATGGGTTTACAAAGGCGTGGTCAATTTAAAAAAAATCTTTCTAGTTTGTATAATTACATTTACCCTCTCAATTATGATTTTTTCTTATATGTCCACCATTATGGTGTCAAATTCAACATAATCATCTAATTTCGTGTAATGTGCTCTAGATTGTATTCGTTTTGTGTAAAAATACAGTTTCTGATGCTGCACAATCTGATATATACAAGCCAAAAGACACATATTATGATCATCTTGCTTCAAAATGTGGAGTTCGAATGGGATAAAACGGGTACAAAAGTGATAATATTCTATATAATCTCGAAAATTCCACTAAATTTGAAACCGCAAGGGTGGACATGTAAAAAAATTTGAGTGGTTTTTTTTTTTTTTTTTTTTGACGCGAAAAAAAACATAATTATATTAGGCACTCATGGCCAGAAACGGAGGGAGGGTTACACCTTCCAATGAATCCAAATACTCACGCGAAGCAATTTCGTGAGCTAGTTTATTGGCATCACACCTTACAAAAGAAAAGGAAATAGAAGAGAAGAGACAAGTGCGAGCTAAAACCGCCTCAATAATAGCGCCGAATGAAGTAAGTGAAGATCCTCGGCCATTAAGCGCATCGATCACTGGGAGACAATCACCCTCAATAATAATGTCAGGCCATCCTAAACTTAACGCCATAATAGTAGCTTGCAAAACAGCCCGAGCTTCCCCCTCGGCAGGTAACACGCGGCCAAGATGCCGAAAATTCTGCCACCACACACTTTGACCTTGTGAATCTCTAGCAACCATAGATGTGTAATAGTGATCATTACCTTGCGGAAAAGCTGCATCAACGTTAATTTTAATCACCCCTATTGGTGGCGGAGACCACAAGATGGCATGGGACCGCTTGTCGACGATGCTACGACTCAAACGAGCTCCACGATATGATTCCATGTACGTGCTGCTCCATCCCACAATTTCCCCAAATGCCCGATATCCATCACCATGCAGCAGCTTATTCCGGCGATCCCAAATACTCCAGAGAACCACTGCAGCCAGGTGAAACTGTTCTACGGAAAGCTCTCGGGCCAATCTGCTCACCCAGCTCCAAACCGAGGGATTCATGTCGCTAGTGGGTAGAGAAATTGGTAAATGTTCCCACACCTGCCTAACTCCATGACAGTGAAAGAAAATATGCGGCAAGGAATCGGATTCTATTCCACAAATATCGCACAACGGGTCCGAGACAATCCTCCGCCGAAACAATTCAACTTTACACGGTAAAGCTTCCATGCATGCTCTCCATAAGAATACCCGAATTTTTGGTGGCACGTCAAGTTTCCAAAGCCATTTTCAGTTGTAAGAGTGCGATCCACTGTTTGAGCCGACCAAGCCTTCTCCAACCCGCAAACTATGGCAACTCATAATGTTATGATAGCAACTTTTAACCGTAAAATTACCCAAATTCGAGAAACCCCATATAATTCGATCAGTCGTTCCCGCACCTCCAATAGGAGTAGTAAGAATGCGTTGCTTGTCCACCGGCCAAAAAATATTATCAAGAACCTCAGTCTTCCACGAACCCGTATTACTGTCAATAAGGTCCGCTACCGAATTAGGGAAAGCCGAGTGCACGGGCCTGGGAGGATTTCGACGTGCAGTTATCATGGAGAATCCACGGGTCGCACCACAACGATGTATTCGTACCATCCCCAATTCGCATCCGAACACCTTCTTTCAAATGGCCGCGGGCCTCAACAATGGCTCGCCATGTGGCCGACGGACGATGGCCTACAACCGCAGCCCAGAAGTCCCCATTGTGGTAGTACTTAGCTCGCATAATCTTTGACAGTAAGAGCTCCGGCTTGGTAACGAGTCGCCAGCCTTGTTTCGCCAGTAGAGCGAGATTAAAACTCCGAAGATCCCGAAACCCCATGCCCCCATCTTCCTTCGGTTTGCATAGTTTCTTCCATGCAACCCAATGCGTCGTTTTATCCATGCCATTCCCCCACAAAAAACGACGCGTAATGGCTTCAATCTCCTGAACCAAACCAATCGGCAGTAGAAAGCAAGACATAACATACGATGGGATTGCCTGTAGGACTGCCTTAATTAGGATTTCTTTCCCCGCCTTAGAGATGTTCTGAGAATTCCATCCATTTATTCGGTCCCATACCCTATCTCTCAAGTATTGGAAAACCTCCTTGCGCGATTTCCCCAAAGCCGCCGGGAGCCCCAAATATTTTTCATGACTCACCACAACCTGGAAGCCCAAGATAGCATGTATAGATTCGCGGGTCTCCGGTGGTGTAGCTGGACATAAACTAATTGTCGATTTCTCCATGTTAATCACCTGGCCAGAAACACGTGCATATTGGAGAAGAATTTGTCGGATTGTCCCAGCATTATCCTCGTTTGCTTGGCAAAAAATTAGTGTATCATCCGCGAAACACAAACTCGAGACCATTGGAGCGGTCGGAGCTACTCGAAATCCTTGCAATCGCCCTCTTTCCGTCGCCCGTTGCACCATTGCTATAAGCGCCTCTGTACAAAGAATGAAAAGATATGGCGAAAGGGGGTCGCCTTGCCTAAGCCCCCGCGAAGGGACTATCGAACCACATTGCGACCCATTGAACAAACACGCGTAAGAAACCGTCAAAACACATAGCATAATCAGATCAATTAAACCAACAGGAAAACCGAACCTACACAGAACCTTTCTCAAGAAAAACCACTCAATGCGATCATATGCTTTACTAATATCTAACTTCATAGCCATAAGATTAGAGCGTTTCCGAGAGTTTGTTTTAATGAAGTGATTAATCTCATAAGCCACCAATACATTATCCGTAATTAGTCTTTGCGGCACGAAGGCACTTTGGGTAGGGGATATGATATCGCTCAACACTTTCTTGATTCTATTAGCTATAGCTTTAGAACCAATTTTATAAATAACATTGCAAAGGCTTATGGGACGATACTCAGTCATTTTTTCCGGTTTAGACACTTTAGGAATAAGGACGATATATGTGAAATTAATCGAGGGGGGAAAAATTTTGTGGTTTAAGAATTCAAGCACACAATCAATGACACTGGAGCCTAATATTTGCCAATATTTTGTATAAAATACAACAGGGAAACCGTCAGGCCCTGGGGCTTTTAACGGAGCCATTTGAGAGATAGCGCGAGTTACCTCATCGGCAGTGAAAGGAAGTGAAAGGTGTTGGGTAGCCTCACCGGAAAGCCTCGCCCCAATATGGTGGTCCAGAACTTCATCTATCTCACTCTCCTCCGGATTCGTCGACTGAAACAACTCCTCGAAGTATCCCGTGATAACCCGTTCTATGTCTTCCCTGCTGTTATGCCACCTCCCCTCACCATCCCTAATTCGGTGAACCCAATTCTTCTTTTTTCGACCCGTAGCCTTCGCGTGAAAGAACTTTGTGTTACGATCCCCCTCTTTGATCCATTGAATTCGGCTCCTCTATCTCCAATACAAATCCAAGTCCCCATATGTCCGTTCCAGTTCAGCCTTTAACACCTTTTGTTGGGCGACATTTGCTTCCGACTGACTTGCGGCCTCAAGATCGTGAATTTCTTGCTGCAGTTGGTGGATCCGTTGCCTCGGTTTATTGAGCACCGAACGGCTCCATTGTTTGAAAGTTGTCGTGCAATTTCTAATGTTGCGAATAAGACTCTCAAAAGGGTCCGAAGAAAACCCCTTGTCCCATTGTTGACGCACTATATCCTCACATTCTTCTTGCCGGGTCCACATCGCCTCAAAACGAAAAGGTCTTCGTCCCATCTTCGGTCGATGAGTTTCCACAGGGTCAACTTCTAGCAGAATCGGAAGATGGTCTGATCCCGTAGCCACCAAATGATGAACAGTAGCATTAGGAAAGATCTCGCACCATGCCGAATTCCCACAAACTCGGTCTAGTCTGGATCGAACGGTAAATGGTTCATCTCGGTGATTCGACCAGGTAAAATGCGAACCTACATATCCCAAATCCACGAGAGTACAATCTGCCAAGACTGCCCTAAAGGCCTCGATTGAACTCGGGGACCGCACAAGACCGCCCACTTTCTCCGAATTAAATAATATCTCATTGAAATCGCCTCCGATTACCCACGGCAAATTGCTCTGTGCATTAAGTTGCCGTAAGAGAGACCACGTTTCGTTACGCCGCTGCTGCTCCGGAAAACCATAGATGCCGGTAAATCGCCAAGCTCTACTCCCTGGTCCATCATGCACAACAGCATCTATGTGATTACTTGAATAATTACGTAGCTCCACTTTCACATCTTTTTGCCAGAGTAATGCCAATCCTCCCGAAAGACCCACCCTATCCACCGAAATTCCGAAAAGATTCCATTTCCTCATCAGCTTCTTAACAAATGATGATGTCGATTTTGTTTCCGATAGGAAAACCACCTTGGGACGATGGCGTCGAATGACGTCTCCAAGCACATGAATGGTCAAGGGTGTCCCCAATCCCTGACAATTCCAGTACAGGTAACTCATCGGGATCGGTTAGTCTACTTCGTAAGAGTGGTCTTCGTGGCCATTGTTTCATCGAGACTATCCATTGAGAGGAGAGAGAGAGAGAGAGAGATAATGTTCGATCCGGTTCGAGGAGATAGGTCTCCGGCAACGCTGGTGGTGGATCTGATGAAAAACGGAGAAAACGTGTTGAGCAAGGATTTAGGTGAACAAAGAACGCCAAACAAGACTCATGCTGGGAAGCGTCGCAAAGGACCAAGAAATAGGGAGAGGCTCTAAAACATAAGCTAATCAAATTGGAGAAGCAAATCAGACAACTAGTAAAGCATATATGATCCGAAATCTGTGTAATTCATGAGACAAGATTCAAAACCCTTTCTAACTGAGAGAAAGTTAGTCGGAAAAGCCTCTCATACAGAGAGAAAAACAAAGCCTCTCATCGAGAGAGAAAACCCTAGTTAAACAAATTTAGAGTTCTAAAAATACTATTTTATACATAATTTGAGTGGTTGTAATTACCCAAACAAAATGGGGTTTTCTAAGTTAACCATACCTCAGGAGTGGTTGTAATTTACTCTTTGTTAAATGCTTAAGAATTGAAATTGGTTTGATTAATTTCAAATTTTATAAGTATAATAACAAATAAATTGGTAACTCATTGGAAATTAGACGGATCATATTGAAAAGTATTATTTCATAAAACTTATTTCTTTCGTAAAATTGCGAGCGTAGATTTTGGAAAATTGAAACTTCGTACCAATTTCAGAGATCCAGATAATTCTTTTTTCACTCATCGAACTTGTAACTTTATATTGAAAAAAAAAAAGAAAAATTGAGTGAGTTTTGGGAGAAAAAAATGAATGATTTCTTTTGAAGAAAACATCACCATGTAAAATTTATGAGGCTCGAAACTTCCTATTATCTGTTAAATGACTACTTCAATTAAAAGTTTAAGTTGTTAGTGAAATGTATCACTTATTATTAGTATTTTCAATACGATGCAATACCTGGTGATCAAAAGCACCAGGTGATTTCGCACCATAAATTTATACGAATAACCACCCATTAAGCACACATACACATGGGTGAGCGTGCTATTATGTGTAGATCAATGGTGCAGATCACTCGGTGTACTTCATCGGATGTATCATCTACAAAAACCCTGTGCACCTAGCCTATAACACCTAGTTTCAGAATGATAGAAAAATTAACCACCATATACAGTAGAATCTCGATAAATTAATACCCGATAAATTAATAATCTCGCTTAAATAATAAATTTTCTCGGTCTCGACTCGGAGACAACGTGCTAAATTAATAATTCGCTAAATTTATAAGATAATACACATTTGTTAATTTTAAGAAGCCCCATATAATATATAAATTAATAATGCATAAAAATAATTATTAAATTACATTGTAGATTACATATTTTATAGATCTATGAAGGTTTCACATTACCATCAATCTCGTCCCTCACTTTTTTTAACATGGTTAAAACTTTCGGTATAATTTTCTCATAACTCAACATAAAATTGTTCTATACCATTGCTTCTTTAAGTGCTTCCGTTCGTGAAACGGGCTCTATAGTGCATTGAACTAATAGTATTATGAATAATATACACGTAATTTAAAAAAAAAAATTATTGAAAATAATAATAAGAGTAATTTTATAAATTAATAAATTATTAATTAATGTATAAATTAATAATTATTAATTTATCGATAAGTTAATATTCGATAAATTAATGAAATTTTGATGGTACCAACTATATTAATTTATAGAAGTTTCATTATAGTAAATATATTTGGAGATTTACAGTAAGTAATATTTTAATTTTTAATTAGTCGTTGGCTCAGAAAGCCAAAAAGTAATATCTTAAGATGAGATCAGAAAGCACTTTCCACTAATGGCAAAATTAAATTGATTAAAAACGTAATCAGAATTCATTAAAAATACATCCGGTTGATGCACTGTTTGCCAAGTGTATGAAAAATAACAATAAATAAAACAAAGTTTATCTTAAATTAATTAAATAGGATAAAAAAAAAAGTATTTAATAATTAGGGGAGATGCGTGTTCCAATCATATGCGGCCGTGTACCGAAATATTCCCAATTTAATTTAAATTAATCAAACAAAAGTTTAGACTTTTTTTAACTTCAAAAGTAAGAAGAAAAAAAAATTCACTAAGAACAAAAGAGGAGACAGCTCACGAAAATGTGATAAATTAAACTAATGAAATGTCAGTTTCAATATATTTTGTTAAGTGTCGACTTATTCTGCAAGCGGATTGAAAAGTAGTGAATTGACTCAAGTACAAAAGTTTATTAAATTAAATTGAAAAGTGATTACTTAACATTATAAATTTGGTTATTGAGTGCAGTTATTTCTATAGTGGTTTATTTCGTGGTCGATGAAAGTCAGTCAGATATCGAATCTATGTAGACTGATTGGCAAGATTAACCTTGATTAGTTCAGTAACTTTATTTTATTTGAAATTTGGTAAATTTAATAATTCTCTGGTCGACTCGTAAATATTACATTAACTTGTTTTATCATAATTTTTATTATGTTTTTCTATTTGACCTTTCGAGATGCAATAAAATAATTGATTTTTTATTAAAATATTTAATCTTGTGATTAATCATATATTAACAACTAAACAAGGCCCTATCACGGCTGCGGCTATATGCAATACTCAATCCACTTGTTCAAGACCAAATTAAAGAAATATTCCAAAAGATTCTATTTTATTAAGATGGAATGATAAGTATGCCCATAAGTTAAATTGGCTTTTTTTTCTCATGTAAGACCAAATACAAATAATGAGAAAAAAACAAAATCGACACCAAGGTGTCGAAAAACTATGCTTCAAATCGACACTTAAGCGTCGAATTTCATAGGTAAAAATCGACATTGACATGTCGAATTTATAGCACAAATTCAATTGTCGAATTTTATACCTCAAAATCGACATCTACATGTCGAATTTTATATCTCAAAATCGACATCTAAATGTCGATTTTTACCTGTAAAATTCGACCTGTACATGTCGAATTCATTTGCGCGGGATTTTTTTTGGAAAGTCAATATTCTAACTAAAAAACCCATAAATGCATACATTCTTGGGTTCTTCCGTCGTAGAATCTTCTATTGTGATGTCTTCTGACTCCATACTTGTCATCTTTGTAAGATTTGTTGAGTTTTGATAATTTTGAATTTCTAGGTTTTGTGGGTTAATGGAGGAGGAAGGAGAAAAGTCTTGTGGATTTTGGAAGATGGAGAAGATGAGAGTTGGTCTTGTGATTTTGTGGTCTTGTGATAGGGTTTTTTGTGTTTTTGAATTTTTGGTCTTGCATATTTGGAACTTTTTATTTTTTTAATAAATAAGGGTATTATAGTATTTATACATTGAAAATTTTAATTTGGTCTTGCACAAGTGGAATTAGTCTTGCATATAGCCGCAGCCCCCTATCACGCTACATAAGTGAATGTTCCAAATTAAAACATCAAATTGTTACATGTTTGGAATCACTTTGGAAGTTATTTTCATTTTATTTTGAAAAAATATATTTTGAGAGAATAAATTGAAAATGAAAGTAATTTTTGTTTATAATTTTAGAGGAAAAATAATACACTCTAGCAGTTAAATCATTTTTAAATACGTTGGAAAAATGTATTTTAGAAGTTTTTTTTAAAATAAAGTTACTTTTGTTTGTTTTTTAATGAAAATATTTTTTTCACCCTAACAGTCAAATATTTTTATCATTACAGTCAAATCATGTTTGGAGAAAAGATAATTTCTGAAATTATTATGAAAATTATTTTTTGAAAAAGTAAACAAACACCAATTCATTTACGGGAAAGAATAAAAATGAAATGGAAACCATACCAAACATTTCGTTCCTATGAGATGCAATAAAAAAAACTATTTATAGATGGGATGAGATAAAAAAAATATTTATATATGCGATGAGATAAAAAAAAAAAAAAAAAAAAGAGAGAAAAAAACAACTTGAATTATAAATTTTAGGGTAAGCTACAACTACTCCAGAGATATGGTTAAATTACGAGAAAATTCTCTCATGTTTGAGTAATTACAATCACTCCTTAAACTACAAATCTTCTTACATGTCCATCCTTGCGGTGTCAAATTTAGTGGAATTTTCTAGATTATGTGGAATTTTTTCAATTTTTCACCCGTTTGACCCATTCGAGCTCCACGTTTTGAAGCAAGATGATCATAAGATGTGTTTTTTGTCTTGTATATATATATATATATATATATATATATATATCAGATTGTGGTGCATCAGAAACTGTATTTTTGTACAAAACAAATACAAACTAGAGAACATTTCATAGAATCTAAATGATTATGTTGAATTTGACACTATAAGGGACGAAAATTCATAGTTGAGAGGAATATTTGTAATTATTCAAACATGAGTAAGTTTTTCGTAATTTTACCATCCTCTCATGGGTGATTGTAATTTACCCTAAAATATAATGATCAAATATATAGAAAGGAGCTTTTTTTTTTCTTCTTTTTTCTGGTTACAAGTAGTAAATCTCGTGATGAATCTAACTTTCATAAACTAGATTTTTACCCTTTACAAGTTGGAACAAGTTGCCGCATCTCAATTTCTATTACAAAACAAACACTCTGTCATATCCATTTACTACTCCCACCCAAAAACCAGTAGGCCCAAGTCGGCACAGACAACTACTGAACACACAAAATATCACTTGTGCCATCAAATCTTTTTCGTGGCTGAGAGTTCGCCACGTGTCGTCCCACAACTCGTCAGCAGATAGATTTCCCTTCCCTTCTCTCTCCTTGACATGTTGGATAGATAGAGCTTCACACCTCTCTCTGCTTATTCCCAACCCACACCACTAGTTTTTAAGCCTAGTCACCACTACTATTATTTTTTCTAGAGAGAGAAAATAAAAAAATAAATAATAAAATTTAAAGGAATGGGAATTTTACAAGGCGCCGGTAAGTTCTTTCCGGCGGGGCTGAACGTGGTGGCGAAGCCATGCGACTACTGCAAGTCGGCGGCGGCGCTTCTCTTCTGCCGCGTGGACTCCGCCTTCATGTGCATACCTTGCGACGCCAAGGTGCACCGCTCCTCCTCCGCCGCCGGCGGTCTGAAACACGAGCGCGTGTGGATGTGCGAGGTCTGCGAGCAGGCCCCCGCCGTCGTCACGTGCAAGGCGGACGCCGCCGCCCTCTGCGTCACCTGCGACCGTGACATCCACGCCGCCAACCCTCTGGCCAGCCGCCACGAGCGCGTCCAGGTGGTCCCCTTCTACGACACGGCGGAGTCCGTCATGATGAAGTCCACGGCGGCGGCCGCTCTTCTGCTCCCGCCCGTCGGCGACTGCAACCACAGCAGCATATTCGCCGCCGCCGCTCCTCCTCCTCCTCCTCCTCCTCCTCACATGGAGCAGCAGAATGCCTACATACCAGATTCGTGGATTTCCATGAACCCGATTATTACGGCGGCGAAGCTAATTCCAGCGGAAAATCCTGATTTGAAATCCATGGAATTGTTGTTCCAGGATTCCGACCAGTTCCTGGATTTCGACAACTACCAGATTTCTTCACAGCCTTTCACCGACAGCGTTGTCCCAATACAGACAGCAACAATCGAACCGCCGGTTCCGGCTCGATTGGGCCACGAGCATTCGCCGGAAGACCGGTTCGATATCGATTTCGCGGGGATCCAACATCAATTCATACAACAGCTACACCACCCATTCACTCAGCCACAGTGTAAGCACCAAATACCAAACTCAATTCATCTCTCCACCATTAAAATTGCAGAATTATAATTAAATTTTTTTTTTCTTCTTGAATTCAGGTCTCGTCGTCGTCGATGGATGTGGGGGTGGTGCCGGAAGGAAATTCCATGTCGGAAATATCCTACTCGTTGGGGCGGACCATCAATTCGAGCGGCGATGGCTCGCAGGTTGTCGGAATGGACAGAGAAGCTAGGGTTTTAAGGTACAAGGAGAAGAGGAAGAACCGGAAATTCGAGAAGACGATTCGCTACGCTTCTCGAAAGGCGTACGCGGAAACCCGGCCCAGAATCAAAGGCCGGTTCGCCAAGAGAACCGAATCCGAGTCAGATCTGGACCGGATCTTCGGTGCCGGAGCTGCGAATTTTATCGCCGACGCTCGATACGGCATCGTTCCGTCTTTCTGATGGGGAAAGATTTGTGTCAGTAATTTTCAGATAGTTGGATTTCTTTCTACATGTGGCAGTAATAATTGAAGGGGGGTAATACCGTAATATTAATATTAGTAATTAGTAATTACTAAAACAAATGTACTTTTTTTTTTCTTTTTCTTTTTTGTTTTTTATAATTTAATTATCTGACTGTTGAAATATTACTGCTGATAAATGTATCTGTATCTATCTATCTTGAATCTGGAAAGCCCTGCTACTTTTTTTGTTGACGGGCTTTTTTTATCTGTAAGTTATTTAATTAAGTCAACTTTTATTTCACATTACTATATTTATTGAATTTTTAAAGTTATTTAATTTCACATCATTTTAATTAATTAAATATAATGTAAACACAAAAAAGGGTAGAGTAGTGAATTATTGGAAGCATGAAGAAGTTGAATTTTAATGATATTATTTTGGCAGGGCGAAAAAAAGTTTAACTTTGTTGTGAAGTGATTATGATCAGTGGTCCCATTTTGCGGATTGGTTCAAAGATTTTTCTTTTGGATTGACATTAGCCGAGCCACGATTTTAAGTCGGATCGGAGAGTCGAATGTGTTTACGAGATTATGAGGGAGTTGCTGAGATTTGTTCGACCCTACACCCGGTGATAAACACCGTGTGGGTCTTCTGCTGCCATGTGTCTCTTTTTTGTATTTTATAATATATTTCCCGCTAGGGTTTAGCTTTAGGGATTTTAGAAAAATAAAAAAAGGGACACGTGGCAGCAGAAGACCCACCCCACTCAGTGTTTATCACCGAGTGTAGGGTCGAAGGAGCCGAGTTGCTGATAATGCCCTGATAAACTATTTTTTTTTTTATAATTTTTATATAAAATAATAGGAATATGAGAAATTTTGGAGAGGAGATGACCCCCTGCTTTGTGTTGGCTCCGCTACTGGATATTGAGCAGTAAATCTAAACCTGGATTATGGGTGGCGAGGGGTATTTTTCAATCCAAAATTGGATTTTTTTTTTCTTTATTGTAGTTTAAAAGTCATTTAATTGTCTATACTATTCCATCATTTCAATAATTTTAATCAGTGAAACAAATTAAACATTCAATTCCATCATTTAAATAACTTTTAAGGATTTGAAAAGAGTATCAGCATGAAATTCCATCATTTTAAGAGTATCATTTATTTGTTTTAAGGATTAAAAAACAAATACTTTTACCCTTTAATTTTGGTACGTGGAGAGGAACAAGTTAGAGTGTTTGGTACATGAAATTTTGAAATTAATTGAGAATACATCTGCACCAATCATACATCACCAAAACCATCCAATGGTGTCCATGCAATTATACCTGGTTTAGATCAACTCAATTTGGCATATTTAAAGTAAACTAAACTAACGTGTGGTTAATATTGTCTTAACAAATATCTAATACCTAATTCTCTTATTGGAGATTATCTAAATTCCAGCTTCCAAACTCATTCAAAATAGCTTTTTAAGTTTGTGTTAATTTACTCTCTCATGCATTAATTATTTCAAATTTGCAGTAGAGGAACCAGCATAAAACCAGGGCGCTGTTGCCCCTCTAATATTTTTTAAATCTATATTATTTTATATAGCAAAATTGAAAAAATGTGTATAGTAGTACGAAGTATTAACAGCCTCTCTTAAAATCTTTTTAATGCATTCGGCCCGAAGCTTGTTGTAACGACTTTGTCCCAATCTATGTGTCTCTTATTGTTCAAAGAAAAAGAGAGCAAAACGTGTTAAAGAAAAAAAAATTAATGTTGATTTGATTTTGACCTAGTCAATCTTTTTAAAGTTAGAACTCACTCAACTTTCAAAAACATATCTCTACTGAAAAATGAATTCTTAAGTGGTATTTGCAAGAGTTTTCGCAAACATAGAGATTGTTTTATTGTTAATACGGGTGAAAGCCAGATTGAACGGATTGAAAATAGTATTTTTGTGAAAATTTTGTAATTCTTTTTCGGAAGAACAGAACTTATTGCAATTCCAATTCCAAAATTTTCGAAATCTAAAAATTCATTCATTAAATTATAAAACTAAAACTACTCATAATAAATTCTAATATTTAAAAAATAACTATATTGATTCCAGTTGCACCAGGCACCTATTTGTAGACACATGTTTTCAAATACTACATTAAAATTCTAAACCATCGAATGATAAAAGTAATCTTCAAAGTGATAAAAATCAAAAGGGTAAATTCCACTTTACTCTCTCGTACTCTACCTGAGAAACACTTTACCCCCTCGTACTCTCAATTTCATCGATTTACCCCCTTGTACTTGTACAATTTTCCAATACAGCCCTTTCCTTCAACTTTTGTCAATTTTGACTCTGCCGTTTGGTCAACTCTGTAAATTACAAAATTGCCACTGTCTATAACACGTCGTTTCTCCTCCGTCAATATTGTCATTTCTTCTTCTCCCACCATTTGCCCTTCCAAGATATCCCCAAATTGAACCCCTAACTTAGTAAAAATCAAGACCCAAAAATTGATCAATTCCACCTAGTGCAAAGAAACAAATATATGAATGTGTGAAACTTTCTCTTTTCTAATCTCGAGAGTCAAAATAAAAAAAAGTTCAATATTTACGTCAATATTTTGACTCTTGACCAAATGGCTTCAGAGGCCAAAATCGAAAAAAGTTGACGAAGAGGGTTGTATTGGGAAATTGTACAAGTACAAGAGGGTAAATCGACGAAATTAAGAGTACGAGGGGGTAAAGTGGTTCTTGGGCAGAGTACAAAGGGGTAAAGTGGAATTTACCCAAATCAAAACTATGGAATAAACCATGCCTTTTTTTACGTGAAAATTTGCAAATGAAATAATTTAACGAATTTTTTTTAGGAGTCTTTTGAATTAATTTTGGAATTTAAATGGAATCGAAAATTTCAAATTTTTTTGATATACTTCCAATTCCAATTAAAAAAAACTGAAATAATCAGAAATTGAAATAAAAAAAAATTGTTCTAAAATAGAAACTTTATGAATCTGACGGAAATTGGAATTTTAAGAAGCAATGCGAATAAATACAGTGGGACTCCTCAACAAACAATGGTCCCGGGCCACGTGAAGTTCACGTGCGGAGTGGCCCAACTGTATTGCAAACTCGGGGAACCTTTTATCTCGTTTAACTTTTATGTGGGCCCAGCCGAGTCAACTTTCCTAAATCCCACTTGTTATTTCCCCATACTTTTTTTGTCGTATTGCAAAAGGATGTAAGAATAATTCCACGGGGAAATATGCGATGCACCCCTTACTTAGAAAATATTTTGAACTAAACCCAATTGACTTTAAAGACTTTTTCCATAACCCATATTCCAATCTAAATTAGTGAAACCCCCCTTACCAGCCATGATAAGACTAAAGTGCCCCTATGTGTTAGGTTTTTAATATAATACAATTTTATTTCTCCCTCAATTTCATTCTCTCGGTTCTCGCCTCTCTCTCTTTCATTATCTCGCTATTTCTCTCTATTTACAGCTTTTTTTTTTTCTTTTTTTTTTCTTTTTTTCTTTTTCCTTCCTCTTCACATCTGTAGACCGCCGCCGTCGGAGTCACCCTTCAAACGCCGCCGCCGAAACCCGTTGCAGGAGGCCTCCTACGCCGATGTTGGAGATCGTCTCCCCCCTCGTCGAACACCACCACATCGACGCCTGGTACAATTGGCGGTGGCGCCTCCCCACCCTTGTCGCTGCCTCCGTCGGATTTCTATATGGAGATTTCCCTTCTCTCAACGCGGAATACCAATATATACTATATTAATTGGTAAATTTTATTTTTTATTTTTCTCGAATTAATTGTCGAACTAGCAATAGAATATGTTATGGATCTGGATTTTCAGTTCTATTATTTGTTTGTTATGAACGAATACATTGATTTTCAATTATTCTTGATTTTATTATTTTTTGTGTTATTCTGCATATTCTGAATGTTTAGATCTGGAAAATCCATTGAATTACGAGATTAGTCGGTTGTAGTGCAATGTATTTTACAGAGTAGTCACGTTTGACAGAATAGTCATGTTTAACGACTTAGTTATATTTGTCATTTTTTTTTGTATGCTGCATATGTTCAACAGTGTAGTCATATTTAACAGAGAAGATCAAACGGAAGATTAAGTGCAGTCGGTGCAACCGAGTTGGATACCGCAACAAAAAAACATGTTTGATGGCCATTGTTGAAGGATCACATTAGTTATTTTTGTTTTTCCGTAGTCATTTTTCTTTCTTTTTGCAATGTATTTTGCTGTTAATATTGCAAGTTTTTTCAAGTGCTGATTACTTGTAGTCACATTACGCAGTTGCTAGTCACATAATAGTCATATTCATGTTTCTACCTGTTATATTAATAATTATGCTTCTATAATATGTTAATTACACTATTATACACAGCGTAGTCACGTAATAGCCATATTCAACTATAGTCATATTCGGAGTTGTATATCTGTCGAGAAAAAAAAATCAAATTTTTGTTTAAAAAAAATTAAAAAAAAATATTTTTTATTAAAAAAATATTAAAAAATAAAAAAATAATAAAAAAGTGGCTATAAAATCCGAAAATAATACAAAATAATAATAAAAAAAAATCCTATTTTTTGATTTGGTAACAAATTTTTAGAAATTTGGAAGTAGATTTTTAGGAATTAGATTATTCTTATGGAAAGAGTGAAAAAAAGGAATAATTGAGACTAATTATGTTAATTGATATAAGGGTAGAATTGGAAATACAAATTCTAGGGATTATCACAAAGAAAGATTTAAGGGTTGGACATATCACCATTTATTATCTATATGAGGGGTTTATTGCTAATGACCCCTAATTCCACGGTACAAACTACAAACTATAATCCATCTCCTTCTCTAAGTAACAAAAAAAATTGATTTATCTTTGAATTTGATTTGCCTTCTATTTCATTTTGGGTGAAACGTGTTACCTTACTATAGTTACAATTTTATGGGCAAATTACAGTCAATCCCTGAGGTAAGATTAAATTACGAAAAAAACTCTTATGTTTTGGTAATTACAGTTACACCCTTTACATATGTGTTCTCTTACGAAAAAACCCCTTTTTCAATAGATAAATTTGACATCGTAAGAGTAGATGTGTAAGATAATACATATGTGAGGGAGTGGTTGTAATTACCCAAATATGAGGGATTCTTTCATAATTTAACCTTATATTAGAGGGTGACCGTAATTTACCATAATTTTAATTGGATGTATTTATGTTTTTGTATAAGCCAGTGAAGACTATGCTATAATCTTTAATAGTGAACATCTGTAAATTGAATAGAGTTAAACTTGTACAAGTTAATACAATTAGAACTAGCAAAATTCTATTAATTTAGTGAAATATTAAATAATTGAACTAATAGTTTACACCGAACCAGAACAAGAAGAAATTATTATGTGGCCGATGTTATTTATTTATCGATGTTCTACTGTATTTTAATAAAATATGGAATTCGATTGAAATCTGACAATAGATTTTTTAAAGAGTTTCATTATAAAAACAAATGGTCGTGAATTTCTGAAAATCGATTGAAATTTGGTATTGAACTTCTGAAAGTGGCTGAAAATTTGATGGTAAACTTTTGAAAAATCGACTTTTAACGAAACTGAGAATGGATCAACTATTAAATATTGGCGGGAAATTTTAAATAAATAGCGACAACTTGTTACATACAACAAAATGGGAAATAAAAGAATCAAACAACCAACTCAATGTTCTCACACTTCAAATTTGCTGTGTTTTTTAGACCATCTCAACATTTTTGCATCAAACCAAACTAGTATTATACATTAATAATAATTAAATAAAAAACACAAAAAAATAAAAACTCACAAAACACATTTTTCACACACTCACCTCCTATCCCCATAACCCCTGTAAGAATCTTGCATTTTTTGTGTCTCCAAAGCACCAAACACACCATAAACACTCTTTCCATCATCATCATCATCACTTTCTTGATCAAGTGCCATTAAATCCTCACCATACTTAACACTCTTAATCCTCATACTTAATCCCGATTTAGCACCACCGTTAACCAGATAATCTCCCCCCTTAAGAAGCCCGACCACTTCCCTCATAGTCGGCCGTTTCTCCGCCTCGCTCTGCACGCACAATGCCGCCACATTCACCGCCTCCATCAACTGCCTCTCGTCGAAATTCCCCCGGAGCTTCGGGTCCGCTAGATCCTTGACCCGCCCGCGCGTTATGTGGGGCTCCGCCCATTCGGTGATGGTCCGTTTTAGCCCGCCCGGGAGTTTCTCGATGGGTTTTCGGCCAGTGACGATCTCTAGAAGGAGGATCCCAAAGCTGTACACGTCGCAGCTCTCGGAGACTTTCCCCCACATTGCGTATTCGGGTGCTAAATACCCTAAAGTGCCCTTGACCCGTGTGGTCATGTGGCTAACGCCTTCGGGTATTAGTTTTGCGAAACCAAAATCGGCTACCAATGGCTCGAAATTCGAGTCTAGAAGGACATTGCTTGCTTTGATGTCTCTATGTATTATGTGGGGTGTCACTTCATGGTGCAAGTACCTAATTAGTATATATGTATTTCATCAAATTAAATTATTAAAAACAATAGGACAAAATGCACTTCGCCCTCTACAAATTTCCCATTTTCATACTATCCCCCCTAAAAATTCAAAAACTGGATAATCCTCTTTTCAAAATATTATTTTGGTTGCACTTTGCCCCATAAACCAATTTCTGATGGGAATTGTACGACAAAAATAACATTTAAAGGGGCAATGTGTAAAAAGATAATATTTTTCAGAGGTAACGTGCAACAAAAATAACATATAAAAGGGCAACGTGCAACATAAATACTCATATGCCGATGAATAATTAATCCATCAAAATTTTGTTATCGGGGCAATGCGCAACAAGAATAATATTTTGAGGGGACAGTCACTTTCTAAAATTTTGAGGGAGTGATGTGCAATTTGCCCTAAACAATATGTAATTAAGATATGACTCATGAAAATAGAGAGAGTGAAAGTTTATTTGATGCTACACTCGGTTTAACACATCGCGTGATTATTAATCGTTGATCTGCACATTATATATCACACACACATACCTATGTATGTATATGTGTTTACTGATCAGAAGTAATTTCACCACATCAACGATTAAAAATCACCGAATATATTTCACCGAATGTAGCATCTGAATGAATAGTAAGTGGGTGAGTAGTCTTACAATAAGCCTTGTGCGGAGCCGAGTGCAATATTCATCCGTTTGGTCCAATCAAGATGAACTTGGCCGGCGAATTGGCCGTGTAAATGAGAAAGCAAGCTGAGATTGGGCATGTAATCGTAGACTATGAGGCGTTGGTCGTTTCCGGCACAATAGCCTCTCAGCCCTAACAGATTCTTGTGCTTCACCCTACCGAGTACTTCTACTTCCACCGCAAACTCCATTTCTGCCTTCGAGTTCATCGACTTCAATTTCTTCACTGCTATCTAATATGAACACAAAAAAAAAAAAAAAAAAAAAGTTTAATTATGTTTTTTATGATTGAAAATCTAGAGGGTAAATTTAATGTTTTTAGAAGGAAAAAAAAAATCTTAATTAGTTTATCTTTCTTGTCTACGTTTTGATTTATCCTATGCAACTTCATTTAAAATCTACATATTTTTAACTACGTTATTTATATACATATATAATTCAGATCTGAACACGCTCTTGACGGAAGAATCCTAGATTCGCAACTGGTGCAAGCTAAGGGTATTGGGCATTTGGGCGCAGTATAACAAAAAATACTTAATTAGTTTGAGGGACTTTAATTTTTGTTATATTTGAGATTTTGCTAGAAAATAAACTAAAGTTTATTTAAAAAGTCACTTACCAAATCGGAATTTCATGGTTTAAATCAAATTAATTAAACCTCAAAAAATTGAAAAAAAAGAGTTATTTAAAATCAACTAGATGATCGAGTTGGAATTTCGGATTATCAACAACCTTCTTCTATTAAAATAATACGGCTTCGAACCGGACACCAGCATTGGATGTCAGGGCCGGTTCTGACCCCGTAAACTTTTGATTTATCTTAATTTTGTCAATATTTTCGTCATATTTTCTACAAAATTCTTATCTATTAATACAAAAAAATTCTTGTCCAGTAGTGCTCCTTAAGGAATTAATGTGTTCATTATACAATACAAATATGAGCCTATATTTTTTTAAAATGTCTTAAAACTCGCCTAGCGCCTCCAATTTCTCAGAAATAACCCTGATGGATGTGTCGTGTGTATATATTCTTTTGTGTGTAAATGAATGATAAAAAATTAGCATATACAAGTCGAACCTCTATAAATTAAATTAATACAGTCGGGACTAGGGAAATTCTATTAATTTAGCGAATTATTAGATGATTATCTAGTTAATAATTATTTAACATATTTTCACCGAATCAAGACCGAGAAAAACTATTATTTAAGCAAGGTTATTAATTTATCGAGGTTCGACTACCTGGAGGCCGTCGGAAGTTTTGCCCCAATAAACACTGCCAAAGCCACCTTCACCAAGCTTGTAATCATCACAGAATCCATTGGTAGCAGCATGCAGTTCCTTGTACGTGAATATTCTCCATGATTTGCTGCTGCTGCTGCTATTCTCTCCTCCTCCTCCTCCTCCTACACTCAACCTACGTACCCACAATACAAATTATTAATTACCAAAATAACCAAAAAAAATAAAATATGTGTTTAATTCCAAGATTACCCTTGTTCAACTTTTTCAGAGCTGCAGCAACTGAAGGAAGACCCCATTGTTTTTTTTAAGAAAGTGGGATTAATTCTCTCTCTCTCTCTTTTGAATTTTCTTGATCAATAATTAGACGAAGGGTTGTATGAATTAAATGATTACAAGTGAAAAAGAATTTGTCTCTTTCTTCAATGGTGGCGCTGCCGCCCTCAGCCGGCTGATCTTTTAATGTAACTAGTTGTCAACATTTTACTTTTTTTTTTTTTTTTTTCTCATTATTATACAACTAATCATTATATATATTGTGTATCTATAAATTATAATAACCAATAATATTTAATTAATCATCGATAAAAATATTAACAAGTAATTATTTGGCCTGGTCAACGCTGCTATTTTAAGCATATTTAATTAATCATCAATAAAAATATTTACAAGCTATTTTATGCATATTTTAAGCATATTGAAACTGATATTATATCTTTTATTGCAATATCATTAATTAATATGTGGAAGTGTATATTAATTCATGAAAATAGTAATTAGTTAGAGAAAAAAAATAATGATAAGGGTATTTTAGTAAAATTATTTTTAATAATTAATGCATACTTATTGATTTTCTTAATATATGCGCAAGAATTCAGTACAACAACTAAAATGAGAAGGAGCTTTGGGAGTATGAACATACGATGCCATTTGGCATCGTCTCAGGATTGTCAATATAATCCAGCTGCTTGGATTAAAAAAAGAGTAACGAGCAATAATTAAATTCGAGTAAATATATTTTTATTAAATAAATGTTAGTTAACTATAAGTTGCTAATAGCATTGAGTGCTGATTTGTAATTTTCATAGTGTGATGATATTTTTTTTATGTAATGATGTAATTGATTACTATATTTTTTTAAGTAATTATTTATGCATTCAAAATTAAATTTTACCAACCATCTTCAAAGAATTCGTATCTACTTTGGTTATTAGAGTCAAATTTAGGGTTCAGATTATAAATATGATTGAATTCAAAATGAACAAGAAAAAAAATTGAATAGTTGAGACTTTAGTCTATCTATTCTTCAAACTTTTTTAAAACTAAGGGCTCGTTCAGTTACTATTGTAAGGTTCTACTGACTAAATAACATGTACTATAATAAGACGTTCGGTTGACAAGATTCATACTTAAACACGATATGAATTATCGGTTATGCCCCACTTTTTACACTTATTTACGTTCACAATAACTTTCTTTTTTCTATTTTGGTAATATGCCCCAAATGTTAGTGATATGTGTGCTATTGGCCCAATAGGTCCAACTGATTTTTCCATGTAAATAAAATATTCACAATTCAGGCCCAACCCAATTAGCACATCTAGAGATCCCAAATTAAGGAAATCAAGAATGCCATTAAATATTTTGTTACTTGAATTTTGCTTCGCTTTATTCTTGCAACATCGGGAGTGGTTTCCCGGCGTATAAGTTCCGACTATCAAGTTAGTTTGTATTTAATTTGTATATACTGAATTCTAGTAAAAAAACATTATATTAGCGAGTAAAAGTTTGAGTACTGAACCCCCTATTTATAGATATTTTCTCTAACTTGAGTGTCGGAGTGTCTACACCGGAAAAAACCCCGGTGGTGCAAGTCCGAGGCGACAGCTGACGATTCCAACGAAGACGATCGATCTGCTGAATTCGGAGATCCAATGTGATGTGGAGCACAAGATGACAAATTCGACTAATTCAATGTTTGGTTATGGAACCGACGTTTTGATAAACGATAGAAGAAGGGATTAATGGTGAATTGGTAAGGTTTGAAATGTAGCTCTCAGGTGTGCATTATTGCAGGGAATAAATATATATGTTTTGACTTTATAATAATGGCACTTATTAATTATGTCGTGCTTGGACCTGTTCATGTGTATGTACGTAAGCTGTTTTTTAGCTAACAAAAGTTTGATGATCATGACTACACCACTCTTTATTTTCTTCCTCTTATTTTTCTTTCAACTCTAAAATTGACCGCAATTTCCTTTCAGATGTATATATTATTAAGAAACCAACCCCTGTGTAATTTCGAGTTGCTGAAAAAACGTCTTGTGTTAAAAAAAATTGGCAAGAAATCCCTTATGAAAATTTATCAAAGGCAATAAAGTCCCTAACAGCTTATTGTGTGCTGCACGCGCGGATTGTGCAATTGAGAGTGTATTTTTTGTCCAAAATGCCTTTTAAATTATAAATTTCAAAAATTATAAATTCACCCCAAAATTCTATATACCCCAAAATGAAGTTTTCAAAATTTTCAATTCAATCCTTCCCATTTCCAAAAAGACCATTTTACCAAATCAAACCACAAACGTCACTCCAGCCGGCAACCATCTTCGGTGTCTTTCCTCACCAAAAAATATCACAGGAAGAGAGCCATGGTCACCATCGTACCGCCTCCATAACCACCTCCTTTACGATGTCCATATCCGCCGCCGTCGCTGTCGCTGACCTTTTTAAATTGCTGGTAGACGGTAGCTTCCTGATGTGTGCGGCGGTGAATGCACTATTTGAGGAATTTGATAGAAAGTTGTTGCGTTCGGGTTTGAGGATGGGGTGAGGGGAGGAAGTGTGTGTTGTGTGGTTTGACGGGGAAGATGAAACAACGGTACATTATTCTCTCTCATTTTTCAATTTTGTTTTTGAGGGATTCAATTTTTTTATTTTTTGAGTTGAATAATTTTATTTTGTTTTATTTTGAATTCAGACTAATTTTGTCATTTCATTTAAGTTAAAAGGAAAAATCGAAAAAAGGAACAGTGTGCTTTGTAAAATATAACATATGAGAGTTCTTGCTAAATTTTTTAACACAAGGGGTCTTTCAGCAATTCAAAATTACACAAGGGGTCATGTGCAACTAACTCAAATTATTAATTAATATAACATAATTAATATCAAAATAATAAACATTTTCCCGGCAAAAATCGAAATGTTCTGCTCTCGTCTGAATTCTTACATGGAGAATGTACTGAATTCATAAACACATGACACCACCTAAACAGAAGCTGATTGTTTAAAATTATCATTTTCCATGCTGCCGCATCTCTCTCTCGATTTTTTATTTTTTTTGACGGACTTTCATCGTAAAATCCTTTGGAAAAATAAACATTTACGTCCGCAAATTTTATTTTGTGACAATGACGACTGAAGTTTACATCAAACGAAATTAATGATTATTTTTTCACCGACGAATTGACAAATCCTTCAGAAACTATTTGGATGAAATGAATTAATTTGTCTGGCAAATTAATTACAAAATATAATTCACATATTCTTGTCTGGCCAAATAAAATAAAAATAAAAAAATAAATAAGAAAAGGGAAAAAGTTTCAGCAATGCGTGAGTGGACATTTCCAATAATTAACAATAATGGATAATGGCGTCATTCAATTCTTCACATCTAAGTTTCATACAATCAACTTTTATATGCCACAGTACTACACCGTTTCGTCTGTAGCATCTACAAAACCGCAACTAAATGGTCAGCGCAAATATACACTTTCTCCCGATAAAAAAAATATATTGTTTTATCCAAAAATTATTATTTTTGAAGGGTAAATAACAACCACCTCTATGAGGTAAAACATAATTACAAAAAAAACCATTTTTTGAGAAATTACAGCCAACCTCCAACAGTTTATAAATTTCTTACATTCATCCACTATAAAAATGTGTTGATGTAAGAAATATACACATTGCAAGAGGTGGATGGAATTATGGAAAAGTAAATGATTTTTTTCTTCAAAAATAGACCTTACCTCAGCATGGCAATAGTAATTTACCCTATTTTTAATTAAGTTTGCTGTGCATGTACCTTGAATGCAATTTAAAAAGAAACGAAAGAAGTAGCTAGGATGAAAGATATAATAATAAGATGACTTGTGAGATGCTACGCCTGATGAAATACATTATGTGGTTTTAAATCGCTGATCTACATAAATAACTCATCACTAAACACACATACACGTGGATACGTATTAATATGTATAAATCAATGGTGTAAAACTACATGATAAATTTCACCATATGTAGGTTTTGCAAAACCAGATATGTGCAAGAACATTTTTTTTTCACTCTCATTAATGTAGAAAAAATATCTTTAATTAATTTATATTGATGTCAGCAAATTATCACCTAGTTGTAAATACAAATTATTGAGATTGGTACAACCATCCCCATATATATATATATAATCCTCATCATAATCATCATGATAGATTTATAATCACACCCCACAAATGAGACAACTTGCATTCAAACATAGGTTTTTTTTTTATCTTCCCAACAATTAATAATGAATTTTAAGGTGGGAGAGCCCAAAAGAATTGTAGTCCACTCAAAGAAGACAATGCATGCAGTTGTGTACTACACTAACACTACTTTCCCCCCATTTCCATCACTCTTTATTTATTATGCTTGATGATGTTTCCCCATCTTTATTAAGTTTCCATTGTTTGTTTTTTTCAATATCTTAATTTCATGAAACCATGATTAATTATATTATTTCTTCTTATTTAATATTTGATTACTTCAAAAAAATTTGGGTCAACACTCAATTATTATTATAAAAAAGAAAATTAAAAAATTGAGTAGTACTCCCTCTGTCCCATATTATATGTCTTTTTAGAGAGTTTTTCTTGTCCCAAATTATTTGTCATTTTATATTTTCAATGCATTATTAATTGCACTATTTTCAATTTTACCCTTTATCACTCCTAATTAGTTAGTTGTGAAACAATTAATGTCAAGGATATATTAGTATTTTCCTATGCTTTTTACGATAATCTATACACATTTATTGATTTTCTTAATACGTGTGCAACAACCCAAAACGTCATTTAAATTGGGACGGAGGGAGTACTTCTTAACTCTTAAGGAATTGTATATTATACCTAGCTCCCGAGTTTGTGCAATTAAATTATTGTAAGATGTACTGCAAGGAATGATCTAGCGGTTGTAACAAGTGAGTCTGTGTCAATTGACACATGTTCTAATCCCCTTGACAACGGTCGCTAGATCGAGTTTCTCATACATGGTTAGCATCTCCCATATGGTTTGCAAGCTATTATACGAGAGTATAAGTTTACCCAGTACACATATATGATTTGTTGCGGGTTCATTAATGACAAATACATGAATTTTTGGAAAGATTTAATTTGATAATTATTACTAGTTATTTAACATTTAATTGCTTATTATAATGTTTTAATTTCTATAGAATGATATTGGTTAACTTTATTAAAGCAACATCAAATGATTTGTATTCAGATTTTTTGAAAAATATTTTATGTCATATATTGATTTGATATTTCAATTTCCAATATCCCCAATAAATATCTAAAATACCTATTAATTTAAATTAGCTAGAATTAATTACCCTAATTCCACTTAATTTTATAACCCTTGATTAATCTTTTTTTTACCATGGTTCTTAATTTTAAAACTTTATCGAACCTAGACATCTTTTTTAACAAGATGCAGTACAGTACAATATATATCTATTTTATTTTTATTATTTATTATTTATTGTTTATTAGCGGTCATTGAAATATGCAACTTTCAGCTCGCCGCGGCTGGAGAGAGGTGCTACTGTAGTTGGGATGAACCACGTGTTTATCCATGTGTCACGTGACCAACGTCTCAGGCACAACTACTTTTGATGCAGCAGAACTGTGTATTATGTTTTAGAATATAATTCCTTTAAAAAATGAATTTATTTAGGTGAAGTATGCTAAAAGAAATTGAATATAAGAAACATGGAAACGGGCCAAGCGATACGGGAAAATGGGAAAACGCAAACGGGAAAACGGGATGCCCAAAAATGAGAATATGAAAACTTGACAGAAATGTATAAATATTAAAAGTATTGTGGTATATTTATAAATATATTATACAAGCTATATAAGTTTTTATTTATATATAAATTCTTTTTATAAATTTTCATACAAACATAATCAAAATACATTTTAATTTTACTATCAACTATCAGGTTGCAATTGATCATTAAACCATGTAAATAATTAGAGAAGTAACAAAAATATTTGAAAAGTTACTATTTAAACATGTTTCTTCTAACTTTTTAAAAATTACAAAATGACACATAAAGTATCCGACATGTGTCCTAGAGTTTGGACACGCTTCGTATCCAAAACACGAAAACATTATAAAGTTGAAGTTTCGATGCTTCATTAGAACCGTACATATATTTGTTTTAATAATTAGAGTAAATATAAAAATAACAATTAGAGTAAAACAAATGATTCTTTAGTCATTATATATAATAAATATATATTTTCCCATTAAATTCGTCCTCCAAATATTATTTACACTCAATATATGTAAAATTGCTAACACAATAAACAAAAATAATTACTCCTACCAAATTAATTCTACATGCAAATCCTTTTCCAAATTCTCAAATTTAATTCCCACAAGGGGGTAATTAAATTACCCAAAAAACAAAAAAAAAAAAAAATCAATGGACCTGATCTGCAGATGAAGATACAGCAGATTCATGATGGGAAGCCATGTTTCCAATTTCAATGTTCTTCTCTTCATCACAATCTTGTTCCGACAACAAAGTACTATTATTCTCACTGCTGCACGTGCTGCACGTGCTCTTACTACCAAACGATGATGCCCTACTTGACATCGGAGTTGCCAAGAAAGTCGGCTTTTCTTGTCCGGCCATGATCACCAGGAACTTCTCTTCCATCACCGGCGCCGCCGTCTTGGATCCGCCGTCTTCTGTCTCCCCCGCCTCGAGGTCCCTCTCGGCGGCGTCGCCGCCGCGGTTCTCGAGGTAGCCGGAGAGCTTCCAGTAGGAGCAGGCCAGGATCAAGAGAGCGAAAGCAATGAGGCCCAGCATGGCCGCCAGTCCTCCGAATAGGTACGGCACCGGCGAGTGCCACGGCGATCGCTGCGGCTGCGATGGTTGCTCCGCTACTGCCGCCCCGTAAATGGCCATCGTCGATGATCTTTTTAATATTGTTTGATTTTCCTTTTTTTTTTTTTAATATAAATGTGAGATCTTTGAGTGTGTATAATTGGTGTGAAGTGAGTGTTTTCGGTGGCGACGGTGGTTGTAGCGGTGGTGGTGGTGGTGGTGGTGGTGGATAGATGTGTTGAGGTGGGGGCATTTTATAGAGAGAGAGGGTGGATTGGATTTTGAGAAGGTGGATTATTTTTTTTAATGTTATTTTTGTTTTTAGGAATTATGACGTCATTGTCATAGAAAGCAAAAAGTGGGTCCCACGTTTTCTTTTGTGCTTTCAATACGTCTATTTATTTATGCGTATACTCACGATGTAAATGCACTTGGGTGGTGTGTCATTTTATTATTGTTTAGTTTGGTAATGACAATTTATTTAGGGATTGAATTGGAATATTAAATTTTTTGTGAGATACTCTCTCTGTTCCTAAATAATTGTCATTTTTCACTTTTCACAAAGATTAAGAAACTCAATAAATATATCTTGATTTTAGAAAAATTATATAAAAATGACTAAATCAACCTTTATTATTTAATAATTTATAAGAGAAAATTAATGAATAGAGTTTCATTAATAAGTTTAAAACAGAAAAAATGCATTTAATGCAGTATTGGAAATCTAAAGTGACAGATAATATGGAACAAAAATATTTTTAAAAATAGACAGTTATTATGGAACAGATGGGGTATATTTAAAATATCATTATGTGAGTTATACTACAGGTGAATAAAAAAAAAAGATTTTTTATATCGGTTCCAATTAAAAAAATGTTTTTTGAACAAGTTTTTTCACTTCAACTTTCTAAATTCTGATTCCAAGTTCTATGATTTTTTATGGAATAAAATTGATTTTTCTTTCAAGTGTTAATTTGAATTTGATTTTTTTTTTCCTTCTAGAAACTGCACATGGTGAAATTAAATTAAGCTAAAACTGACATTTCATTCATTCCATTTGGGCTTATAGACGGAGTAAAAATAACTTTTAGTCTAAGAGGGGAAATAATTAAGAGGAAAAAGTTTTAATAAATTTGGATAATTTCTTTATCTAAGAAACGATGTTTTTGTAAATTCATGGAAAATCGGGCGTCTACGATTGATGTATGTTTGATCCAGAACTCAAAAAATAGCTAAACAAGTACAAATCTCCTCACTTTTCAATCTTGTTATCCTCGAAATCCGATAAACTCATGTTCTTGATGGTTAATGATGCAAAACTCTGACAAAATAATATCGGTGAAAGTACATAAAAATAGTTCTAAACAAAGGGTCGTCGCTTATTAGTACCCTCCATGCATTTATTAAATCGTTTTGTTTAAAAGAAGCGATTAATTTAAAATAAAGTTCTTAAAATAAAAAAAAAATTAAAAAAAAAAAAACAGAAAAAGTTTTGGATGTTGTTTTATGACATAAAACGTAACGAATTAATGTATAAAACGGCACCAAACGGTTTCGAAGATGATGCAAATAATATGTATATGTGTCATATGCATGCTAATTTTATCAACTTTACATTTCTTTTACTATACTTCAACCTTCTAATTAATTGGCTTCTTTCTGTTTTTGTCGTCTTCTTCTGGTTTTTCTTCTTCTTATCTCTGATGTAAAATCAGTCTTCTTCAATTCCATCCTAAGTCACATTCTTCTTTGATTCTTCAAATTGTGACTTCAATTTGTTTCAAAATTCATAGTAATACGAAAACGGCTAACCGTCATCTGATGATTGGGATTTATGAAAGAGACGGACTAAGGTGGTGTTTGCAAAAACAAAAGTTAGTGATTGTGAATTAAGTTTATAAGATTAACTTTATTTTTAAAAGTTTGGGTAGCTGGAAAATCAACTTAAATTGAAAAAGCAAGTTGATGGGTGTTTTTAGAATAATAACTTAAAACAACTTATTTCAAGAGAAGCGTAAGCAAAAATTTGTTTTGTAAACACCTAAAAACTAATTACGTGCAGAAAAAAAGCTCGTAATATGTATTTAAAAGCTTTTACAAACACCACCTAAATGTGTACGAGATTTAGTGGCACATGACAATCTCTAGCTATTTGATGGCCTAAAGCGAGTATATGAATCGGGCACTTTTTGTTTTGTTTTCCTTAAATTCTTTAATTAGTTGAAAATATTTTCCATATGAATATGTTCCATATATATAATACTCTCTGCAGTTCTTTTAAAGTGTTGTTTGAGGTTAATGAATAATAAGTAAGAAAGTTATTAAACAACCTTGATTTTAAAAGGAAAAAAAAAAAACTATTTGACAAAACTACCCCTCTATGTTATTAATATTGGGATAAAGATAGACAAAAAAAAAATATCCTACATTGAAACTCTAAACTGACACGTAATATTGGGAAAAAGAAAATCGACTAAAGAAACACTTAAACAAAAATCGACTAAAGAGACACTTAAAAAGAAACGAGGAGAGTATATGTTAATAAGATTATTATTTATTAAGGTGTGTTTTATGAATCGTCTTAGGTTAATGGTTTGCCGTATTCGGGTGGCTCCACCACTCCACCACCACCTAATCCGTCGTACACGCTAAGGACAATTTTACATATTCCTTTCCCAAACGATACATCCAATTTTCGTACCCCATTTAATTATTTAACAACTTTTTTTTTTAATTAATTTATTAAATCCCCACCACTATACATACATCTTTAATTATCTTATAAAAATTAAAAACCATTAAACAAACTTTGTTGCACATAATCACCTTTCTTAATCAAGATTAAATTTTAAAAAAAAAAGTAAAGAATACCACAGGCGAATTGACACACAAATCAAATTAAACCCGAATCCCACTTCGTGATTATTATAAATTAAATCAATCACATCACGAAATTAAAGAAGACGATCAAGAAGCAACTTAGTGAAAAAAAGATTAACTAACGTAATTATCATATCAACTACGTATTTAAATGATTAATTGAATGGATAAGGTACTATAATAACCATCTTTATAGAGTAATTAATTAATCATATTGAAAGCATCGATTGGGAGTGGGTTTTCCACTATCAACCAATTGAAAATAATTAAGTGGGTTACCACCAATAATTATGGTTTTTTGGCTGCTCTCATTTTCCCTAGCAGCTTTAATTTGGCTCATGAAAATTATTGTAAGCACTATCATTAATTATAGTAAGGATTTTATAATTGCATTGTCTACAAAAACAAAGATAATTAATTATGACTTATTTTACAAGATTACACTAAGCGTTAACTATAATTCGTTCAGGCCTCAGTTTGGTTGATGAGATTAGTCATGATTAATTAAATAATGGGACTTTGTTTGATGTTAATTGGTTATCTTCAATAACTTGTAGTGTCGACCGCAAATATTATATTATCATGTCTTATTTTGTCTTCTAAATATGTTTTTTATTGGATCTTCCAATGTCCAATAATACAATTGGATTTCATTATATTATTTAATTTTATCATGATTAATTTTATCTTAGCAATCAAACAAGGCTTTATAATACTATTGTGTTAGTCATTTCATCATCTTTTTTAAGGATCTATATAACGATCCAAATGTTTTAGAAAATATTTTGCAGTTTAATTAGTTGCTATATCTCATCGTAAGCGTAAATTAGAGCTTATAGCGTATGTTTAAAAGTTAGAATTAGAAATAGGTCAGTATTTTATTTTCGTATAGAAACATGTTATATATAAAAGTAATAACCGTTAGAGGAACCCTAGGACACCCTAATGGCATATCTTATATATAAAAGTAATAAACATTAGAGGAACCATAGTAAACCCTAATGGCATATTTGTAATTATATTTTTATCTCTTAATTTTTTGAAATTAAATCATATTGAGTTTCGGAAGCTTCTAAGCAACTTTACCTAAAATATTTTCTAAAATAATTTTAAGATATATTTTTAGGGACCCTAATAAGCACTCAAGAGAATATAGGATCTTCTTCCATCTGTCACGAATAGTTATTCAATTAATTAGTAACACATATTTAATTTGCTGTCCAAGATATAAGATTTTATCAATAAATTATACAATTGTATGATAATTAATTTAATTGCATATACAATTCTCCAAGAAACAAAGACAATTTTATTTTTCCACAATTACCATTCGATCTAAAAAGTTATTGAACTAACAAACATCAAATAAAGTTCGATAAAATTAATTAATTAATTAATAAGGACTTAATTATACCAACCAAACGAGCTCAAATAGAAAGAAAAAATAGAAGTTTCGTAGTGGATGGAGCATTGTATTACAGTATGGTTTGGCTTTAATTGGAATAATTAATAGTTATGTGCCAAAAGCTTAATCCTAATTAGTACTCCATTAATTAGTGCAATTAATTAGCAAAGTGATGAATGTTCCTAGTACACATATATAATTATTCCATGGGATAATGTTGGAATATGTAGGCACAAGAGCAATAAGCAAAGGGAGGATTGTTATAATATAATATATCCCTATAAAGGGGATAAATTAAAGTGGTGAATGTAGCTTGGCTTTTAATTATTCTATACTTCACAACTAATTAATACTAATTATTATTATTATTATTTTTTCATAGGAATCTGCAGTAATTACTTATGTATATTGGATAAATTCACTCTTGTTAATAATCCATAAACTATATGAGAGATGGGAAAAATGTGTTAAGGGCTCATAGTTTATGTGAAATATGTCATCATCTTTAAAAAGTGGTTTTTTGTTTTCTATAGTTATGTCTAATAACATGTATTAGAAGTTGTAAATTTATATTTTGTCAAATGTATTGTACATGCACCAAAGGGTTAGTATCTTTGTATTAATTATAACAAAGGTTAGCTTTGTTAGCCTGAGTTTGGCGGTAATTGTCCTAGTTACGGAGGTGCTTGTATGGACAGCCCGCAATCGAACGTTGTTGGCGTTTTGTGTATGCTGAATGTACTATAAATGTTAAAGTTTCGCATTTTGTGACATCAATTAATTTTATGACAACTGATAGTGTGTGAGGTCCTACAAACTAATTAAACAATTAAATTATGGGCCTAACCATGCTGTCAAATAAAACACTAGCTTTTTGCAAAGAATGGGAAAATCGAAAATCGAAAATCACAAACAAGAAGCGCGTGCCTAACAGAATTATTGTCTAGCTTTATGCAATGAAGAAAGATAAAATCCATTTCT